TTATTGCGCGTTATTCTGTTACTATATATCGTATTTTCAAACGTGATTGTTCAGAAAGACGGAAGTTGGCGGCAGTGAGCCTTCTTGCGATTATCGTCTGTGCGGAATGAGCCACCCCAACCATATTTTAGAGTACAGAGTGGACTATATTGACTCAGTTTTTACAAAGTTACAAAACGACTGCACCTTACTGGCTTTCTTAGGTAAATTGGGCCGTCAGCTTATAGGAAATCGCAGCGTCCGACGCCTGGTTTGGAGTCGGTGTCTTTAAAACAGCCCACTTAACGCAAAGATAACATCAGTTCGGAAGCAACAACCTGGTCGATTGAAAAAAATAATAACTGGAAAGGGGGACTGGGCACCTGAGATCAAAATAATTACCACACTGGATGCGGGGTTGAACATGCACTAGAAAAGCGAGTAAGTCACAACAAGTGCTCCCTTCCCAGGCCGAAGTTCGGTTTATGAAATAGTCCGAACGTAGTTAGAATAGTTAAATTAAGTAAATGAGATACGAGCCAATGCTAGAGCTGTAAACAGCGTTGGCGGCTGTGGCTGGCATGAATGAGCCAGGTTGAAGGGACGACTGAAGAAAGCCGGCGTTTCAGTTAAACGTCAAAGGCAAGTCACTATGCCTTATCAGCATGCGGTAAATTAAGAGATGCCGTTGGCAGCAGAAGCAGGACCAGTTGTTGGGAAGAAAGTCCGGAAACTTCTGCCCCCAGCGGGACTTCTCCGCTTCAATGAGAAGGACGCTTGACCTGGACTCGATGGACTGACAGTGGTTGTACCTCCATATCGGTACACGACAGAATGTCGGTGACCGAAATCTCCAAATTGCGCTCACATATGTGGAAGTCGAAGGAACTTTGATGATGGTCAGGCCTAGCACGTTACTGAGTTGAGAATGCAGATCACGTCGGAAAGGCACTCATATCGCAGGGGCGCGTGAGGGCGTCACCATTATCGCAGGGCAGGTTGGGAGGTCAAAATGATCGTAGTGGCAGAAGACCACACCAGAAGTTGCGAGTTGAGATCACGTCAGGAAGTCACCAAAATCACAAGGGCTTAAAATAGTTAAACTCTAGCAACTGCGATCCCCAGGCCCGGATACTTAGAAGAAGATAAGTCATTTGCGGCCAGAATGAACGGATCAGTTTTTTTGTACAAAGGGAACGGTGAATAAGTACTAGAAAACTGCTTGTCATACGAGCGAGCAGCCGCACGTCACAGGGGCGTATCTGAAGTGAGGTGACAGTGTGAATCGCCACAGTGCCTGGAGCGACCTTCGTGTGATTCGACCTTGACAGGTAATTGGCTACCAGTACATGCGCACTC